GTGAGCTGGTGCACTGTTGTGATGCAAGAGACATGAATTGTTGGCGAAAAGTTCAGGTCATCTGACTTTTTCATGCAACCTTTTCAGCACTTCCAAATAGTAAACTTGGTTAACTGTTTGTCCAGTTGGTACAAATTCATAATGAATAATCCCTCTGATATCAAAACAGGTTAGCAACATCGTTGCAACAAGTTCGCGAACTTAATTGTCAGACCTCATATGTATAATGTGTGTATATATACACACGTTATATATATATTAATATATATAATACATATATATTAGAGGAGCATTGTCATTAAAGTGAGATCATACAGTATATATTCATTATTTTGCAACTTGCTCTTTTTAACTGATCCATGGACAGGTTTTCCCATAGCACACACCAATCCATCTGATGTTTTAAATGTAATATTCCCGATATTTCCTTGTCATGCAGTGCATTTCTGAGTATGGATGAACCATAATTTATTTTATCACTTTCCTGCCAATGCACATTTCAGTCTCAATTTTGCACTCTAGCCCAGGGGTCAGCAAACTTTTGAGACGCAACAGCCGCCAGGGGTCAGCAAACTGCGGCTTGCGAACTGTGGCTCTGAAATAAAATTGAAGATGAAAATAAAGTTATTATGATTTCATTTATAAAATTTTTACAGGATATTATTCACATACTGGTGATTATGTAAAAATATATTTATGGCTCTTGAATAATTTTTAAATTGTTGTGAGGGACAGGATTGGCTCTTGCAGGGGTCGGCAAACGTTTGAGTTGGAACGTACCCAAAGAGCCGCATGTGGCTTGCGAGCCGCAGTTTGCCGACCCCTGCTATAGACAATGGTAGAAACGCTGGTGCACATCCTGGCAGTAACACCCTTCTACGCTCATGTAGATGTTTTGGGAGCAGAGATTCCCAGAAATGGGCCTGCTGGATTCAGGACTATTCACGTTTAATATATAAGATCCAATAGCTACTTTTGTACCTTTCCAGTTTATACTCACACCAACACTACAGGAGAGGAAACATTTTAATTTAATTGTCCATTAAAAGAGATTGCAGAAATGCTGGGCCAGATCTGATGTTTTGTGATAATAGCTATATTGTCATCTCTGTGTGTCTAAGGTACTTCACCAGCTTTTTGCTTTAATAAAATATTTTGTAGTAATAAAAAGACGTAGCACCTTTGACAAGTGCGTTAAATAAGTCTGTTTGCTATGTATATGTTTTCATGGAGTGTGGGGAGAGATCTGCCATTAACATTAAATAATAAGAAGGCTTATTTTTTCCTGGAAACAAGAACGTGAGCAAATTTTCTTAATCAGGTGAAAATAAGCAATATCTTAAAAAAATAAAATGCAACATTGGAGAATAAGCAGAGACTCAAAATCATATTGGAAATTCCTTATCAGAAATAGTCATGATATAATAACTCCGCATTGTTCAATGGGTGTTGTTTGAGTTATGCTAGATGAATAAATTGTAGCAGTGTGCTGTACAACAGAGTGCCTATAGCTAACAATACGGTATTGTACATTTCAAAATTTAAGAGGGTAAATCCCATGTTATATGTTCTTAGCACACACACAGATAAAAACAAAAACCAAGGGACATGAGGATATTTGGAGAGGTGATAGATATGTCTGTTACTTTGATTGTGGTGATGATGTCATGGGTGCTTGCATATGTCCAAACTCATCAAGTTATGCATATTAAATATGTGCAATTCTTTATATGTCAATTATACCTCAATAAAGGTATAAAAACAAATAGTCGTGAATGATATCTCAAGTTGTCTTAGTCAGCTTGAGCTGCTGTAACAGAATACTACAGACTGGTTGACTTAAACAACAGAAGTTTGTTTCTCACGGTTCTGGAGGCTGGAAAGTCTGAGATCAGGGTGCCAGCCTGGTCGGGTTCTGGGGAGGGCCTTGTTCCTGGTTGGCAGATGGTGTTCTTTCTGTGTCATCACATGAGAGAGAGAGAACTCTTCTTATAAAGGCACTAATCCCATCATGAGGGCTTCACCCTTGTGACCTAATCACCTCCCAAAGGCCCCACTTCTAAATGCGATCACACAGGAGGTTAGGGCTCCAACAGATGAATTTGCAGGGACACAAATATTCATTCTATAACACAAGCCTAAACCAGTAACCTTGTCTAATATTTCACAGTGAAGCAACCTTCTTCTCATTGATAATAGAGTCAGTAACCATTAGTGAAGACGAGCTGCTGTAATGTGCATGGGTTTTGTTTTCTGCACTGTGTATGTTAAATATTTGAATGCAAAACAGAAAAATTAAAGCTATAATGAAACACACACGTGCTGTGCATACATATATATATCTCATTTGAAGAATGCATGCATCTTCTATTAAATTTGCCACTTTGGGTTATTTTAACCTTTTATTGAAGTATATCATATATACAGAAAAGCACATCAGTCATAAATGTACAATTGGATGGATTATTACCAAGTGAACACACCTAGGTACCCAGTACAGGTCAAGGAAGAGACATCAGCAGACCCCACACCCGAAAGCCCTGCTCATGCTCCCTTTGTGCCCCTCCAGATACCATCTTCATGAAGCACCAAGTTCTCGGTGTTGGAATTCTTGTACTAGAGACCAACCTTGTTTATTTTCTTTGTGTCATTGATGCCACCATGACACAAGAGAATTTTCAAAATTCTGATCTATCACCTCACTATTCTATTGATAGAGGTAGAAAACCCTCATATTTTGACGAATACTTGTGGAAAAAACTAATCCTACTAAAGTGACTCTTCACACCTTTACAGCAAAATGGCTTTGGTCTCATGGAATTCTATAAACTTTGCCTACTTCATTTGAGTCTTATAATGGTTGCTGGCCCTTAATGGAAATTTTCATCGGTACCCATAATATCTTACTGGTTGTAAATGTTTTACTTCGTTTTTATATAGTCCATAATAAGGAATGGAAAAGAATTACATAAGCAGCAAATGTTTGTTTTCCTTGATTGATGAAATGTTTTACACAAGCACTTATAGCTGTCAGAGCAAATGTCTGAGAGAAATATAAATTGCCTTTTTTTCTTTTAAGAGGAAGCCTTCTCTTCTGCCTTCATTTACAATTTTGAAATTCTGCAGATTGTGAAAGCAAGCAGATTTGCCTAGAGTGAGATGACATTTCTCTACGCAGAGTTGTATTTTTTCCCAGAGGGCTATGGCTATGGATGGTGGGAGAGATCTCTCTCTCTGTCTCACACACACACACACACACACACACACACACACATTCAGCCACATACAACATTGCTGTAAGATGAGATTAAGTTCTGGTTTATTAGCCAAGGATTCAAGAACTTATGCTGGTAAATGTTTAACCAACTCTCCAGGGGACACAGGAGCAGAAGGCTGATTTGTCCTGTTTGCTGATCTCTGTGGTGTAAATCCTCCCACTATGGCCAGTTTCAAGCCAGCTACCTGAGATCACTGAACATGGGGTTAGGAAGAGATGTATGTATCATTGGCCTTCCCATGCTGGTGCAAGCTGCACCCAGCACACCAAGGCAAGGTGGCCACACAGAACAGGAGCAAACGCAGCATTTCTCCCTCAACTTCTCATGGGCCCCAAAGTCATCAATAGGGATGTAGTAGCCACCAACACTGTCCACACAGGCAGGGCTGCTGGATTGGGAAAGCTTTTTTGGGTACCTTTTATACTTATGTCAGAAACAGGACAAACGTGCACAAAAAGTCTATGCTCTTTAACACAAAATTGTCATAGACACCTAAGATTCCTCCCCAAAAGTCTGCATTCTGGGGGTAGGAGGGCAGATGCTGAGTTGGCGTCCAGGGCATCCTGGAGGCGCGCCCCTACCTCCGGCTTCCTGGCCCATTTTTCTGTAGCCCAACCTGGCTCTGTTTCCAATGCACTTTTACTGGGGGCTTCTGACACTGACATGGAAAGCTACAATCTTGAATCTATTTCATCATGATTTACAAATGGTAAAATATTTCCTTTCAGAAAGATTAGGATGCTTCCCAACATAAGGCTTGGAATGGGGGAAAGCAGTCCCGGCTTTTCTGATGCAGTACTCTGTGCAGCAGGACACCAAATCAGAAACAGTGCATCCAGTCCTGCTCTCCGTACCAGAAAGTTCATGAAAAACTCCACTTGCAGATAACAGAAAGCAGATTCCATTTATTTAATATTCCAGAACAGGCTGAAGTCTCTGGTGGTAGAAGTCAGAAAAGCAATTGCCTTCTGTGGAAAGGCATGGCTGGGGGTGGGAGCTATGAGGGCAGCTTCTGGGCTGCTGCTTATGCTCTGTCTCCTGATTTAGATGCTGGTTACAGTGGGTATTCATTTTGTGGCGAGGTATTGAGATGATCACGGTGCCTTTTTCGGAATAGATGTTATACTTCCATGAAAAAGTTTAATAATTTAGAAACACTTTTACTGGCCCCCTTGAAATTTCCCCAGTGATTTCTGGATCCTGTGGCTTTCCAGATAAAACCCAAACTCTTTTACCAAGTGTCAAGCCCCTATATAGTCCTGTCCTTCCTTCCCCCATCTCCTCCCCCACTCTCATCCCCAGCCCGAAGGTCCCCTTACCTCCCCCCAACTGGCCCTGCAGGGCTCACGTCTGTGCTTTTTTGTTTTTAGTTTTATTGGGGAACAGCCATGATCATTGGTTACACATTGCTTTCATGCTACAATGGCATAGTTGACTCTTTCAGGGAGGGCCCAGCTCACAGTGGCCCATTCGAGGATCGACCCGGCAACCTTGGTGTTATCAGCACCACGCTCTAACCACCTGAGCTAACCAGTCACCCCTCACGTCTGTGCTTTTGTTCTCATCTACCTTCCTCCCTGAAATTCCTTCTCCAAATTTCTCAAGTCCTAACTTTTGCCAAGGCATCTCTGACCAACCACCCTCTTACTCCTTCCACTGGATGTCTGTAGGCTACGTGATTACCTGTATCATGTACAAAATGTATCCTGTTGCTTGTTTATCAGTCTTTGAAACCATCTCCCCAACTGCACTGCCAGCCCATCATGACTTCCATATTTTTATGCCATAGGACCTACAAAGCAGTTATCCCCAATGCCTATTGATTATGACATCAAGGAAAAGACGGGATGCCTGTGTGGTTCACTGTTTAACTAGTAAATCTTCCAAATCGAGACATTCCCCAAAGCTACCCTAGAGTAAACCTACCATCTGGGAATACTTCGAAAACTCACGTGGCTGTGCTTTCTACGTACATGCAGCCTTTTGTAGGGTATGTGGGTTGGACAAGACTCTCTCGACTCTGTCCTGGCTCATATTTCTGTACCTGGATCCACAGGCAGATGCCTGCTCTCCACTACTGCCCTCTTTCAGTGACTTTGAACACACCTCTCCTTAAATATGCTCAGTCTTTCTACACAGTTGAGTCCGATGTGATGGCTTCTGTATTTTTGTACGCTTTCATCTTTCACTGAGATGAGTGGCTTCGCATCTCAGACAGAGTAGAAGCTGACGTCCTGATGATGGCCTCCAAGGCCCTGCATGATTTCCCTCATGAACTCTCCAACCTCCTCTCCCACTTCCCCTCACTCCACTTCTGTCACACCCTTCCTTGCTGGTCCCCAAACATGCCAAGCACATTGCTGCCTCAGAGCCTTTGCACTTGCTGATCCCTCTGCCTGGTGCTGTTCCCCCAGATACCTGCATGGCTCATTCCTTTCCCCCTCCTTTTTGTGCTCAGAAGTCATCAGAGAGGCCTTCCCTGAGCACCTGGTTTAGCATCATGAGCTCCTGCCTCACCTTAATGCCCTTCTCTGCTTTATTTTCCTTCCCAGCTCTTTTCACCCTCCACCATGCTATTAATTTACTATTTAATTTATTGACCATCTCTCCTCAGTCAAATGTATGCCCCATGAGGGCAGGGACTTGGTCATTCTCTGTTACTTCCTCCGTGCTGGTACCTGCCCTGGCTCATAGTAGGTGCTTAATCAATATGTGTGAATGGATCTTCTCCCATTGGGATCCATCCTCCCAGTCGTTCTGTTGTCATGGCTCTGGGATGGCAGGAAACTTGTCACCCAACTGCTCATGGCTATTCTCCTGAGCCATATGTTCAGTCATTTGGCTTTTACACTTCTCTGGGAGACTTAGCTGGTCATGTATGACATTCCTCAGGCTAATCAAATGTCTTTTCTTATTTAAAATTATCTGGTGTTGTGATGTATTGATATTGTAGCCTATGGCTCTGATGAAACTGGGATTTCAGACATTCATTCTGAGGCTCAGTTTTGTGCAGAGTTTAAGGACAGGGAATGGTGGTTGGAGGGAGGGGACAGTTATTTTTAAAAACTATATTTTGTACAGATTGAAATCCCAGTTAGTCTTTGTATTAGTTGTGATTGACTAGCTTCTAAAACAAATAGCTCCCAAATATCAATGTCTTAACATGATAAAAGTTTATCTGTGCCTCATGTCCTATTCAGGTTGGCAGCGTCCTCATTCCTTCTTGTAGTGGATGGGGGTCGAGAATATAGAAAACTGCTGTGAAGGGTTTTATGAGCCAGGCCTGCAGGTGACGCACGTGACTCCTGCTTCCATCCCATTGGTTAGAATGCCATCATATGGTCCCACCTCACTGCAAGGGAGGCTGGGAAATGTAGTCTAGCTATGTACCCAGGGAGAGAATGAAATAAAGATTGGCAAATATTGACTGGTGTCTGGAACATTTTTACTTCTCCAGACAATTTTGCAGATCATTCAACTTAGGTGGGCTGTTCTCACCCTCATTTTAGAGTTTTCCTGATATGTTTACAGAAGATGAAAGGACATTTACTGTGTACTTATGTGTGCTTATTGTTTCTATTTCAAATTTAGATCATTTGCTCTAAACTGGATTAGAGATACAAATGAATTTTTCTAATACATTAGAAAATGTTTCTGGTGTTCTGGATTATGCAAAATATATTGTTCTAACCCCTATTCCTCTGTTGAAAGTAAAATAGGAGAAATGATGGACCGTAGAATGAAACCAAAAATGATTCTTTGCATGGAAAAAATCAAGCTACTGACTTTTGTTTTTGATACTTGCAGAAACAAATCCATGAATGGAATTTTACAACCTGTTCCATTAAGGGAATAAGGTAAGAACATAAAGGAAAGTGTAATTATGATTGTAATGTAAATAATGATGATAATGTTTTATTCCTTTAATGTTTCCACTTATTTATAATATGTGATGTTCTCATTTTTAACAGAATCCAAAATGGACTATTTTCTCTTTTGTTGCCCACTTGAGCTTGTTTATGATGTGTTGCTAGTAAGGGCTTCTTGGCTTGTTATAAGAGAGTAGCTTTTTTTGTATACAACAGACCAAACTCTTGTCTCATACATTTTTAAAAAATGAAGTTCATATCTGTAGAAACAGAAAGTGTTTCTTGCTTGAGCCAATGATGTTCAAGTGCTCAGGGACCCCCAGAATTGAAGCTGGGAGTTACTTGGCAATGACACTTGGCTGGAGTCTCCTGAGCAGAGTAATGGAGCCAAAGGCATTGTTATTAGCGAGGGTTGTGTGTTCCGAGAATAGGGCTGGCACTTGCTCTTTGGGTCGGGAGTGGTGACCATTTGGGCCTGAACTGTGTGGCTACACTCTTGAGTCTCACCCTACCAACACATCTGAGGGTGGGAGCAGCTCTGAAGTAGATACAAGCTCTAATCCCTCTTTTGCTATTTGACCTTGGGAAAGTCACTCAGCTTCTCTAGGTCTCAGTTTTTTCATTGTTTCCATCAAATTAAGGGCTTAGACTACAGCTGTATGTCCTTTCTCTAAGTCTGAGTCCACAGGCCACTGAATGAATCCCCTGTTACCTCCAGGCACAGTATGATCCTGTCCTAGATACATCAGTGTTTAAATTAGGATAATGTTTACGTCACTTTAAAGGGAGGGAAATAATTTAAGAACAGAGTAGTGCATTTGAATAATACTGCTCAGGAAAATATAAGAATAATTCAGAAAGTGTTGAACATTTTCAAAAATGTATACTCAGTAACTAAGTTTATGAGAGCATGTAGTCAAGAACCTTTTTATAGAGATACATCTTGCTGCCATTTCAACCACCAACAGGGATGTGCAAAGGGCCTGGGGTGAGTTAGACCCTGGGACCAATGCAACAGGAAGAGCATGTGCTATCCAACTAACTGTGGTGGTTCCTTTACAGATTGAGTTTTAAAACTTACTCATCTATAACCTAGTTTTAATTCTTTTTGAATCACCCTGTACTATTGCTGTTTGAGCTCAGGATTTGTCATGTAATCCATAACATATGAAGAATGGCCAAAGGAGCTATGGCTGGCTGTCAGGAAGAGGTGACTTAGAAAGGGCAAGATAGTGACTTCATTTGTTTGAAGAGCTAATCATAGAAGAGAATCTAGCTTTTTCCATAGTGCCATTTGGTAAAATGGGGGTCATTGCATAGGCTTTGACTCAGTGTGGGTAAAGAACTAGATCTAGCAGTGAAATCCATCAGCAGATGGAGTGTGGTGATTTTTTTTGTCACTGGATATGTTCAGGCAAGCTAAATGTTGCCTGTTCGAGGAGCCCAGACCTTGGGTGGACCAGAAAACATTTAAAGACCTTTCTTGAGCTAAAATACCATGTTTATTTCTCCTTCCTTTGTGTGCCCACGAATACTGTGTCCTGATATTTTTCCAGTCTAGAAATTCTTTTGATACCATAGTAAATTATTTCACAAATACATTTCTTGTCTTTTTTGTGAAATGATAAACTCTTGAGGACGAAGAGTTTATAAGAGTTTATTTGAGTTTGTAAGAGTTTATATGAGACACAGACCATATTTTATTCCCTTTTCTTCTGCCCATATGCTTTGCTTAGCACTGAATATATAGTAAGTTCTTGATACATATTAAAGTCAGTTGATGAATACAAACTCAAACATAAGCAAGATAAATATCCCTGCTATTTAAATTTCATAGAAAAATAGAAGTCAAATTTTGGGAATATTTGTTAAAACATTAATGAACCTTTCAAATTTGTAAAATGGAAGAAAATCTGTCACTAGATTTTCCTCAAAACTTTTAAATTAATAACTCACATATACTAAGCATTCTTATGTTTTGAAATTTTGCAGCATATCCAAGTTTGATGAACGGTGTTGTTTTCTTTATGTCCATGATAATTCTGATGACTTCCAAATCTACTTTTCCACCGAAAACCACTGTAGTAGGTGAGTTATAGCTGATTCAAATATTTGCAATCTAATTGTGGTGAATCATTTTAAAAGGGTCTTTGTTGTGAAAAATATTTATTTGCTATACTGCCTTTCCTGAAAATTTAACCTCTAGAAAATTATTTTTACGGCTTTATTGAGATATGATTCACATACCATGCAATTCACCCATTTAAAGTATACAATTCAATCTTTAAAAAGTATATTTACAGTTTTGCAACCATCACCGCACTCTAATTTTAGAATATTTTCATCACCCCCCGAAGAAACCCAGTATCTGTTAATAGTCACTCCCTATTTTCCCTCAACCTGACCACCCCCCAACTCCAGCCCTATGCAAACCACTAATCTACTTTCTATCTCTATGAATTTGCCTGTTCTTGACATTTCATATAAATAAAATCATACAGTATGTGGTCTTTTGTGACTGGCTTCTTCCACTTATTATAAAGTTTTCAAGGTTCATCCATGTTATAGCATGTACCAGTACTTCATTCCTTTCTGTGGCTGAATAATATTCCATTATATGAATAGACCACATTTAATTTATCTATTCATCAGTGAAAGGCATTTGGGCTATTTCCACTTTGGGGCTATTATGAAAAATGCTGCGATGAACATTTAAGTGCATGTTTTGTGTGGCCATATGCTTTCATTTCTCTTGGAGCCAAATTACTGGGTCTTATGGCAACTGTGGTTTAACCTTTTGAGGAACTGCCAGACTGTGTTCCCATTTTACAGTCCCATCAGCAATGTATGAGGGTTCCAATTTCTTCACGTCTTTGCAACACCTGTTATTGTCTGTCCATTTGATTCTCGCCATCCTAGTGGGCATTAGATAGAATCTCATTGGGGGTTCGATGTTCATTTCCCTAATGACTAATGATACTAAACATCTTTTCGTGAGCTTACTGACCATTTAAATATCTTCTTTGGAGAAATATCTACTCAAACCCTTTTACCAATTAAAATTTTAACTTTTTATTTTGGAAAATTATTCAGACCCATAAGAAAGTTTCAGAAAACAGTACAAGGAATTTACATATATGTTTCACCCAGAATTCCCCAATGTTAACCCTTTATCACATATGCCTTATGTTCTCTCTATTTTCATATGATTATTTTTTCTGAACTGTGTAAGGGTAAGTTGTAGACCTAATGCTCCATTACCTCTAAATACTTTAGTGGGTGTTTCCTAAAAACAAGATGATTCACTTACGTAATCACAGTACAGTTTCCTAATCAGGAAATTCAGATTGATATGGTACGATAATCTACAAACCTGATCCAAATTTTACTTATTGTCCCCTTGATGTCCTTTATAGCAAAACAAAAGATTTTTTTCTCTGGTCCGTGATGCAATCCAAGATTACATGTTGCATTTAGTTATCATGTCTGTATAGTCCCCTTTATCTGGAACTGTTCTTCATCAACTTTTGTCTTTTAAACTTAATGCCTTCCAAGAGCACAGGCAATTTCTTTTGTGTAGCCCTTCAATTTGGGTTTGTTTGATGTTTCCTCATGGCTACATTAATGTTAGGCATTTGGGGTAGGAATACCACAGAAGTGATGTATCCTTCTCAGTGCATCACACAATCTTTGTCTCACCACTGGAGATAATAACTTGGGTCACCTGGTCAACGTGGTGGTTGCCAGGTTTCTCCAAACATTGTCTATTTTTAATTGGGTTATTTATATTCTTATTATTGAATTTGAAGAGTTCTTTATATATTCTGGATACAAGTCCCTTATCAGATGTATGATTTGCAAATACTTCCATTCTGTGGGTTGTCTTTTCACTGTGTGGATGGTATCATTTGAAGCACACAACGTTTTAATTTTGATGCAGTCCAATTTATCTAATTTTTCTTTGTCATTTGTGTTTTTGGTGTCATATCTAAGGTGGCTTTGTCTAACCCAGAGTTTTCTGTGGTGTTTATGTTTCCTCCTAAGGGTTTTATAGTTTTAGGTCTCTGATTCACATTGAGTTCATTTTTGTGTGTGGTATGAGGTAGGGGTTCCAATTTCATTCTTTTGCATGTGGATATGTGGTTGTCCTGGAACCATTTGTTGAAAAGACTATTCTTTTCTCCCATTGAATGGTCTTGGCACTCTTTTAGAAAATCAGTTGACTGTAAATGTGAGAGTTTATTTCTGGATGTTCACTTCTATTCCATAGATCTGTATGTCTATTCTTATGCCAGTACCACATTTTCTTGATACTGTAGCTTTGTAGTAAGTTGTAAAATCAGGAGAGGTGAGTCCTCCAACTTTGTTCTTGTGTCTCATAATTGTTTTGACAATTGTCGGTGCTTGCATTTCCATGTGAATTTTAGGATCAGCTTGTCAATTTCTACAAAAATAAAAAGCAGCCAGGATTTTGACAGGAATTGCATTGGATATGTAGATCAATTTGGGAAGCATTGCCATCCTAACCATATTAAGTCTTCCAGCCCCTGAACATGGGATGTCTATTTGTTTAGGTCTCTTTAATTACTTTTCTTTAATTAAATTTATTGACGTGACAATGGTTAGTAAAATTACATAGGTTTCAAGTGTACAATTCTGTAATGCAACATCTATATATCACATTGTGTGCTCACCACCCAGAGTCAGTTCTTCCATTACTATATACATATTTGACCCCCTTTACCCTCTTTAATTACTTTCAACAATTTTTGTAGTTTCAATATACAAATGTTATATTTCCTTTGTTGAATACATACCTAAGTACTTTATTCTTTTTTATGTTATTGCAAGTGGAGTTGTTTTCTAAATTTCTTAATTCAGATTGTTCATTGCTAGTGTATAGAAGTACACTTGCTTTTTTTTTAAGATTTTATTGGGGAAATGGGGGAGGGGAACCGCATTGGGGAATTGGGGGAAGGGGAACAGACAAGTCACTGTCCTTTTGTTCTTCAGTCTAGTTGTGGAGGACGTCACTTCACTGGCCCATGTTGGTATTATCATTGCGCTCTTCCCGGATGAGGCAGATGAGTTGCTGGCCATTGGATGGCTGCGCATGGCGACTCTTGGCAGCTCACACCAGCTGCTGGCTGCTCATGGTAGCTCACGGCAGCCCACTGCAGCAGGGGCTGCAGCCTAGGCCATTGCCGGTGACTCATGGCAGCCCAGCTCCAGGTCGAGCTGTTGTTCA